ACTGCAGTCTTCGGTGCCTTGTTTCTATTAAAGTTATTTAAAATTTAAATCTTAAAATAATTATTTTCTTAAACTATTAAATTTAGCTTTAATATTCAGTCTAAATTGAAAGATTAATGTAGCCTAAAATATTGATACAATGATACTAGTAAAAGCCTAGAGACTGATAACAGATGGATTCAGATTTCTAGTTATGTATCTAATCTTTTAACCCTTATACAATGTTTAAGATGAGCTTGTATATGTAGTTTCTGATTTCAAATAATTTCTTCTCTCTCTAGAGGCCTAGACTCTTAGAAACTTCAAATTCGTTCAAATCTATGGAAATTTGTTGGGCTATTATTAAATCCCATCAAAATAGGTAGTTATTCTACTATTCTTACCATTTTTGCAATATGCCCATTTCTTTCTCCTATCCTTCTCTTTTTTCGGAGGTGGGGTACCTAATGTTAGTCTTATAAACTGATTTCTATCAAGATCCATGTATGCAACATATAACTGTTTTGTATGAATTATGTGTTTTCACTATTTCTGAGGAGCCATGAAATTTTAAATTAATTATAGATGAATTCTAAGTGGTCTAATCTTGCAGCTTAGATAAACTTAAAAACTGAAAAATGACCAGTTAAATAAATAAACAGGTCCTGGTGTAAAGCAAAGAGAGTTTCTTTGACAGTTGTAGGGTGTGCATCTGGTCATCTTTACATGCATGTTTATTAGAGACTGCTGATTTCATTTGGAATTTGCCATAGTATTTATAATTTACTGTATCAGAGCCAAATTATATATTGTATCATATTTTATTACTATGTTCATTACATTCTTGGAAACAATGTAATTGTGTCCTGATGGAATATGAAAAAAGACTATTTCTCTTCAACTGGGACACGTTTAGGTTTCTTTTTATCTTACTATTGATTTCCAAGAGTGCAAAATAATACTTTTCTGTCACAGTGCATACAGTCCTGCACGATGTCTCAGAGCCTGTCACAATGCTGAAGTTCTATCAAAGGCACTAGACTCTGAAAACATTATCTAAAGTGTTTTTGTTTCCCATTTCTTTATAAGATTAATTGAATAGAGCATTCTGATTAATGACTCCATTAATCAGACTAAATTGATATGATCAATTCTGGACTTAGTTTTTGAGGGAAGAGATATCTGTCAACTGAAATGCTGAGGAATGATCCTCTAAGATTTTTATCTTTTAGGTTTATGTAAATCCAGGAAGATATTTTAACTTTGGTCATACTTTTGTCCATGAAGGTAGATACTCATGAAATATCACATAGAATTTTCCCTTTAATGGAAAGGCAGGATTAATAAAGATACTATTTTAAATAAACAAACTTGCCTTTGAAACTTATTTCGCTACCTTGTAGCGTGTGTGTATATATGTGTGTGTTCAAGTAAGTCCTTTCAAAACATGAGATGTTTTGTTTTATATAGTGTTTCTATTATAAATGACAATTATTTAAGAACACCTTCTTTCATACTGAAGAATGGAAAATATTAAATAAAAAGTTCTCAGAGGGGCAAGAAAAAGGCTGCCTGAAAGCATTGCACGAATCATTGTCTCCACCTAGTGCTGATTTTCAGGAATTAAGATTCCGGAGTCCTTAATGATGCTGTAAAGTTCTAATTTATGTTATGCACATGTACAGTCATTATAGCTGGGCCTGCTAGTGCCATTATAGTCAAGAGTCTGTCAGTTTCTCATTTATAAAACATCATATTAAGAGGTCTATTGCTTTTACATAAAAGCTCACACTGTGCTGGAACTCTGCAGTCCAATGGCCTTTGCTGTATGTGAATGTTAACAGTGTTATGTTGAACTTGACCAGCTCCTTTTAAAGACACCCTGATGGGGTGAAGTTACATAGGCATCTCATTCAGAAGGATGAATCTTTTCATCAATAGCCTGTCCTTTACCTTATGGTAATCGCCCTACACGCATCAGACCGGTGGACATCTACAAACTCTATTGATGTGGCAGGCCCTGGATTTTTCATAGGCTATAGTTCCCACCCTATGGCACACAAGAGGAGACTAACAATTTTGGCTACTAATGGGAGGAAAGCAGGAGAAAGTAGTTTCATGGAAGTCAGATGAAGTCAGGTCAAATCAAGAAAGTGTTTTTAAAAGGAGGGAATGATCATGTTAGACCCTGATGTTAGTTCAGTTATGTCTTGAGAAATGACCTTTGGCCTTAGTGATGTTAAAACCCTGATGGGGCATTTTCACTGGAGTTTCTGAGATCTCTAAAAAAATCTAGTTGGAACTGGTTTAAGAGAAAAAGGGAGGAGGAGAGGAGATGAGTCTTTTACGGAATTTGCTGTAAAGGGAACACAAAGAAAGAAAGCAACAGCTGGAGGTGGACAGTAGGGTATAGAGAAAGCTCTTTTTTTTTTTTTTTTTTTTCTAAGATATCAAGCTGTCAGACATTATGCAGATGGAATGACCAGAAAGGCAGGAAAATTAATAGTTCAGGGTGGGAACAAAGTCCTAGATGAGAGAGCATAAGGATCTAGCCAACAAGCAGAAGTGTTGGCCTTAGATCGGAGCACGAACAGCTCTACGGTAGCAGGAGGTCAGGTTCTAGGTGGGTAAAGAACAAGTCTCTCCTGCCACCATCCCGCAATATCCAGGCCCCAAGAACTTCCAGAAGCTTTTGGGACACCTGGGCCCTTGTACAGAGGGTTGGATATTGCAAATGGTTCTGATGAGGCTGGGCAAGCTCAGAAAACTTTTAGGATCAGATGACCATCACGTGTGCTAGAAAATTATGGGTGATGGGCTGCTTCTCTATTCTCATTCATTAATCAGTGATTTATTATATTAATAAATGTCCATCATTTCATTTCTAGGCTGACTATTACTTAGCTATAGTGATTATTCTCTTTCCATAATGTTAAATTTTATTGGCTAATATTGATTTAGGAATTTCACATCTTTGATTTTAAGTAAGATTGTTGATTTACTTCTTAAATTACCAGTGACTGACTTTATTATGAAGCTTATCTCCCATTCATGGAATGAATTAACTAGTTTCTATATCTTTATGGTTTAGAATGGGTTTTTTTTGCGGTACGCGGGCCTCTCACTGCATCCTCCCAGACCGGGGCACGAACCCGCATCCCCTGCATCGGCAGGCGGACTCTCAACCACTGCTCCACCAGGGAAGCCCTAGAATGTTTTATATAGTACGAAGATGATCTGTTCCATGCCCTGTGAACTTACATGAGCAAGAGCATACTTTCTATTTCAAATCTTTAAGCGTTTTCAAAAATTATTTCTTCAAAAGTTGTGCATTTATTAACATATACATGCATAACGTACTCTTTTAATCTTCTCTATGCAAAATATTTTGCTTGATTTTTCTATTTGCTTGTATATTTTTTTTTTTTTTTTTTTTTTTTTTTT